TTCCCTGGGTGTTCCCGCTGTTGCGCACCTCGGCCTCTTGGGGGCAGTGCGCCGTCAACACGAATGGAGACCCACGCACTTCTATTAAGAGGAGAACAAGTACGTTGCGCTTGAGCTTTCCAAACGACGCTTCCCCTTTTTCAGCAAATCGAGCCTTTTTGACACGCGAAAACAGGCTTTATGACGGAAGCCGTGTCTGGAATGTGCCGGATGATGTCGTCGACGAGTGAGGGGAAGCGAGCGTCCTATGATGAATGGCGGACGTGTTGGGGAACGAGGTGTCCCTTTTCCCGAGGCCAGAACGGATGGCGTTTATCTGTCACAAAAGGCGGTAGCGACACCAGCGCCGATGTCACGCCGGCGGATAAGCGACGCTCCGTCGCCGAGCCGAGCCGGCGGGAATGGCAAATGGTCTTCACTCCGCATGCAAATCACGAGCTAATCTAGTTTTCCTTGCCCCCCGCCCACCTCCCCACTTGGCTTTCCCAGCCTCCACCCTTGCAAATTGTGGAAGCCTCATAAGCCAGCTTTGAAACCCGAATCATTGCTCCAACCCCGATTTGAAACGGAGCTTCGAGGTTCCATCTGAAGATGGGGGTGGGGTTTGAGTTTCAAGCCTTTGAATTCGGACAACGGAACTCTGCTTGAGACCCTCACCTTGGCTTCTAGCCCGTATTTCAGAAGTTGACTCCACACTTAATTGCGGGTGCAATTAAAAGTCAGGTCAGCTTTTGCTGCATCTTTCTGCTTTGCCCCGGGTGGGGGGGGGGGCGGAAGGACACTTTCACACCATCTTATTATTTTTGCTAAGCTCACCGAGTTGTTGTTTGAGATTCCCCCCCCCCCAAGACTCATGGAGGCCCTTGACTACAAACACATTTGCTTTAGAAATGAAAGGACAGCCTTGAAGATATCGTTTGCGCCGAGCGCTTCGTTGTTTAACACTCGCATGACCAAGAGGTTTTCTTGGTCCTGACAGAGCTCGCGTGGCTTCCTCGTCGCGAAGGCAGCCGAGGAGGCGGCCCACCCTTCACGTTGCTTGTCTTAATTGACCGCATTCAGGGAGAGGTGCGACGGTTTGTTTGTCGATATTCCAAAATAAATAAATAAATAACAGTCTTGACACTGTTTCGTGAGCCCAACTGGTGGCGGGCATAAGTTAAAATGAAAAAAAAAAAAAACGCAAAATTACAGTTGTAATGAATTTACATGCAAGTCTCTCGAAGCTCGGCCGTGTGGCGCATGGAAGCTAAATGAAGACAATTGGGCGACGGGGGGAGAGATTAATATGCGGAGTGATTGCCGAATGTGTCTTTCTCAAACCTACAGTCGACTCATTATAAAACCAAAGTACCCGAAAAGCAGGACGGGGGCGGCTTATAGCGTGGGAAGTTGGGAAAAAATCAGCACGCCGCATTCCGAACGTTCGCTTTAAAGATGGTTCTTCATATGCCGAATTGCACTCCACTAAGTGTCACGGTTATTGCCTTTTTTTTTTTTTTTTAACTCTCATTTCGGGCCGATTTGTACAGAGGTAAAAAGGGGAGATAAAATGCATCATTTGATGTCAAGTGTCTTCCAAATGCAGATAAAAAAAAAAAAGAAGCCAACACTACAGAATAAATGTTTTAAATTTGCTACAGTAGACATGCAGGCAACATGAAATGGTGTAAAATGGTTTATTGGAGGTATGGAGAACATTTCTGGTGTGCATATGCAAACTTCAATTTGTATCCACCCTACACACGGTACATGAGCAGATGGTATAAAAGAGAAAATGTCAAGGCAGGCGACGTAAAATGTGGCCGATGAGCGTGTACCGATTGTTACATTTAAGCTGAACATCGTATAAGAGGTCTCTGGACGCAAATATGCTCCATTCGCCCTTCAGTGTGCATATTGCACGTGATACTCCATGTCAGGGGTGCCTGAGCTTTTTTTGACCCAGGATCTACTTTTCGATCAACCGACCTCCCGCGATGGACTCGGTAGCGGTCCGCGCGCCGCCGGTCGCTCGCGATCGCCCTATGGCAATACATCCTTGAATAAGAAGCGCATATTAAACATGACATCTGCTCTATGTGGTGTCCGGATCAAGCCAGCACGATCTGAGGAGGGATGCAAGCTGCGGGCCCACTGACAGAAATGCAGTGACATACACAAAAAGAGCTTTTCAAATCTTGAACCTGAATTATTCACGAGCGCGCCTCTCCGTGCACAAAACTTACATTTTGGCTTGTTCAGTAGTTTGCGCCGTTTGGATGGTCAATTTGTCTCAAGTACATAAATATGCGGCGAGGATATAAAAGTGTAAATTGGAGCTGCTGGCCAAGTCGAGTAACTCCGAACCTTTTTGTTTGGATAGAGTCGTTTTTGAACTAATTGCTCTCATTCCTCAATATATGCAGCTCTCAGAAGGGAGGAAAAAGCCAAATTCTAAAAAAAAAATGCAGTGTTGTGTTCACCTCACGGATGGATGGTTTCAAGTTTTACAAACGGAAAACACAAACGTTTTTAGCTTGGGTTGCAATCGATGCCAGCGGCGCACAATTAAACGCCCTGCCACTAGAGGGCATAAGTGACCATTCAACAGTTTGTTGCCGTTCGCGCGGCAGACCGACACGCTTTGGGTTCACGTCAACAGAGCCGCATTTCTGAGCAAGAAAAGCTGTCAATCCATTCAAGCGCCGACCCAATATATTTGACTGCCCCTCATGGCAAAGGCGCTCACAGCAGAAGGAGCAGCACAGTATCCATCGAATCCACGTTTCGATGGCTTCTCTTCCTTCACTTCTTGGCATTGCTACCAAATAGCGATGCAGTTTTAGTTTTGAACGCTTCAAATTGTAGTTGCATTTTGTGGTTCAGATATTTCAACGCTTTACGCCGCTGCCCAACTTGATCGGAATGCATATCCCGATGAGACGGCTTAAAAGTATTTCTGTGTGAAAACCCCGAGAAAGAAACAACAAAGCCTGTTTTATGTATGAATCCCGAACAAACACCAGAGCCTCCAATTTTGATGATTTGGTGGAGTATGACAGATAATTTTTTTTTCCCTCCGCGCTCTCCGCGCTGCCGCATCGTGTACAAGGCATCCATTAGTGGCGTTCTTCCCCCCCCCCCCCCCCCCCCCCCCCCCCCCCCCCCCCCCCCCCCCCCCCCCCCCCCCCCCCCCCCCCCCCCCCCCCCCCCCCCCCCCCCCCCCCCCCCCCCCCCCCCCCCCCCCCCCCCCCCCCCCCCCCCCCCCCCCCCCCCCCCCCCCCCCCCCCCCCCCCCCCCCCCCCCCCCCCCCCCCCCCCCCCCCCCCCCCCCCCCCCCCCCCCCCCCCCCCCCCCCCCCCCCCCCCCCCCCCCCCCCCCCCCCCCCCCCCCCCGCTCCGAAAAACAACATAAAGTGAGCAAGCATCCATTCATCCATTAGCTTTGGTTATGAACTCGATGGCACTACTCATAAAACACCTACGTGGAAGAAAGCGTAGGCTGGAGTGTTGTTGAGCGCGGCCGCGCCTGCTAATGATGTCACGCTCGGTTGAAAGAAGAGCTTTGAGAGGAACCCGGATCATGTCTGCCAAGCGCCGCCACCAAACAAAGTGCATATGGATCAACCAACTGGATGGATGCTTTCATCTCGCCTCGGCTCTACGCAGTCATGAACCCATGTTACAAAAACAATTTGTCTCTTCGTGGTGAAAATGCTCCACAGGAAAAAAACAAAACACCGCAGTAGGGCAAACGAGCAAGTATGGGCACTCGCGCTTTACATAAATGAGACAAACATTTTTGGCATGCGCATACAACCATAAATGCTCATTTTGCTAGCCCATCTCAGCCATTTTAAGTTCTGTGTTAGCATTAAGCTAGCAGGAGGCAAACCTGAGTGACAGTCACTTTTCAACCGCGAGTGTCAATCAACAGCTTGAAAGCCTCTTTTTGGAGGACTTCTTTATGATCTGCCACGACGCTGTTGTTTGTCGTCGAGTTTCGCGCTCGACACGTCCATTTTTTTTTTTGCTCAAGACAAGAGAGTCCTTCGCCGCCGAAATTTATCCAATCACATCGACTATTGGTCGGATAAACGTTTTTCTGGACCGACATCGTGTTGTTTTTTTAGCGTTAGCCAACTAGCGTGAGTCGTCCTCCTGGCGCGCCATCGAGTGCCGCTCAATTCACGTCTCTGCGGGCGGCGCGGCCATAAATGTGTGCTACGTATTCAAGACACACTAAATGTCTGTGTTTGTACGGGGGTGCGCCGAGCCGCAGTTAAAAAGCCGTGAAGCCTGGAGAGCGACCGAGGAATTGACAGCTAGCTGATGCCGCTCCTCTTCCACCCCCCCCCGTCTTCGCGATGTGCCAGCCTGAGTGCAGACAGCCTCAATAAATCAAGACAATCACACGGCGGCGTGTATAAAACTTTGCCGTAAATCCCCCTCGGATCATAAATGTTCACATTGCAAGCGCATCCATCCGTCCTGGCTGTCTTTGTTTGCCCAACGTAATTGTGTTATTTCCGTCTTGGGTTTTTTTGTTTGTTTTTTTTTTAATGGGATCTGTGCACAGTTCACACATGTCATTGATCTCTGCCATCACTTAAAGAGCTTTAAAAGGACAGTTCGCGCATACTGAAGTGTCTTGGTTTTGTTTGGAGTTTTGACTCAGATATGGACAACGTGACGTGTTCCTTTTGGACAATCTGGAAAAAAACAAAAGAAAACATGACCAAGTGTTACGTACCGTAGGTGGGTGGAGGAAAATCTTCCATCAGCAAAACATCCCGTCATGTAAAAATTCAACACACAGACTTAGAAAATGATCTTCCACCACCGGTTTTGCACGAATCAATCATCGCCGCGGTCCATCGCAGACCGACCCGCAATGATTGAAACTTGTCAATGTAGAGAGACTTCTTTTTTTGAAGTAGTTGAAAGCAAGGGGCTCGCATCACATCCACAGGACGCCATTTCTTTTCCCCGCCACCAACTTCTTGTTCAGATCGCTGTGCCAGCTCGTGCCGAATGTTGCTCTGCATCAAACGTGGATGCCAGAAGGTTTTTGTTGTCTTAGCATGCTGAGCTAACAAGAGTTAGCACGCATCAATGCTCACGATTGGACACAGAACAGCTCGTCATGACAATGACTGTTTGTTTTCTATGAATTTATTTCACATGAAAAGGGGAGACGTGACGTGTTCGCCGCGCTGACATTGGGCCTCGACTTGCCGACGGATAACGTTCCGGAGCCTTTGAAGCTTCTCGCGTTCCACCAGCAGATGGAGGAATGCTCCCGGTCTGCCGCGGTCACCGGCGCCGCCGCCCACCGACGAGCCCCCCGTCCCCCGGATCCTCCTCCGATGAGAGGAGTTCCCGCGCGGACCTTCCCAGAGGGGGAACACGCACGCGTTGAGGCCGGAGAGAGCGGGCTGGGATGAGTTTGGCTGCGGGGCTGCTCTTTGTCCATTTTCATCCCTCCCATCAAAGTTTTGGTCTGTGAGAGAAAAGAGAGCGACACACATCGACAGATCCATCTTTTTGGGTGAAGCGTCGACGCGACGAGGCGGCGATTGAAGCCGTCGTGCGGAAATGGACGCCCGTCTCGCCGTGTGGTTTCATCTCCTGGCCCGCTTCCTGCCGCCGGCCGGCGCCTCCATGGACTCCTGCTACGACGAGGAGACGGCCGCCCCCGGCCGCTGCCTGCCCAAGTTTGAAAACGTGGCCTTCAATCGGAGCGTGCTGGCGTCCAACCAGTGCGGCTCGGCGCCCGAGGAGTTCTGCATGCAGATGGGCTCGGCGGCGCGCTCGTGCCACCTCTGCGACGCTTCGGTGCCGGGCTTTGGCCACGGCGCCGCCCTGCTGACCGACTTCCACAGGAACGAAGAGCCCACCTGGTGGCAGAGCCAGTCCATGTACTTTGGCATCCAGCACCCCAATTCCGTCAACCTGACGCTGCGTCTGGGTAAGAGCTCTTCGGTCTTGGCTTTGGCCGATTGTCTTCCATTTCAACGCTGTTGCTAACCAAAAGAGCAGCGGCGGCGCACGCTCGGTCTCTCGATGCGTCAGGCCTTTTGGTGGCCACCGAACTTGACATTGGGGTGCCAGCGCGTCACGGCTGCCCGCTTGACGGGATTTGCTCACGTGCCGTCCGCGATGGGCGCTTTGACATCGAGTTTTGTCAACAGCAGCGGGCGCTGCTTGGTCAAACGTCAGCCGCCTGAGATGGCTGAAAAGGGGCGGATGCTTATCATGATTATGATGCACTGAAACTTTTGCAAAGTACCGTCGCTCAACTTTGAAAATGTCCACTCTTTGGATCCTCTTTCAATTTGGAAGGCTGACAAATGTCTCACTTTGTGCTCTCCATTCGCCATCTCCAGGAATAGAAAGAGAGCGCTCGCGTCGGTCATGCTAATAACGACCACGACATAATCGAACGCAGACGGTTCGCCGCGGTTCTTGTGATGGGATTTCACGGGACAAAGCGGCTGAGCTGCGACGCTTTGGCTTTCGCTGCCGTTTTAGCGGGGCCACTCGGGCGCCCGCGTCTTTGCACGTTCCTCATCACCCCCGTTGCGCCGTCGTCGCTTAAGAGCGCGGGCCGCGGCTCAGCGCCTACTGCGTCAAAAGACTTTGACACGGCTTAAGGTCGGAATGTGTGAGTTTTGCCGGGGGAGGACGAGGAGTATCTTGACGTGGCCGACAGCGAGCGAGCCAGCGATGTCGAGCAATCTTTGCTCTTTTTCTTTTTTCTTTCTGTGTGTGTGTGTGTGTGTGTGTGTGTGTGTGTGTGTGTGTGTGTGTGTGTGTGTGTGTGTGTGTGTGTGTGTGTGTGTGTGTGTGTGTGTGTGTGTCAGCTTGCCTCCTGCCGCTTCGAGACATCCCGCAGACCTCCGCCAAGGCCCGAACACGGGCCGGCTTGCAATATTAATGCATTCGTGTCTGCGATCAAGGGACAAAGTGCACTCAGATCTTGATGTCAACTTGGTGACAGTGGCCCAAAATCAAAGCCCGTGAACATGTCCGACAGCATTTTCTTTGTTATGTTTGAAATGGCCGCCGACGGTTGTAGAAGCGTGTCGTCGGTCCTCCTTGGAGCCAACCGCTTTTCATCGCCTTCCGCGTTAGCTTTAGCTTCGACGGGCATATGCTCCTTCTCCAAATTGAGAGGAGCCAGATGAAGGGGCTCGCTCGGGCATGAGATTCCAATGCCTCCTGGGCACGTCCCGTGAAATCCCCTCAAAAGTTTCACGTTGGAACGCCACGTTACCCATCTGGATGTCAGCGGGGGGTCCGGACGCATTTGTTGTCTTTTGCTCCGCCAATCTAAACACGCGCTCGCCCAGAGGAGAGCGAGAATGACCAAGATGGCGGCGGGAGTCTGGAGGCAAACAAAATAAGGAGGGGGAAGAAATGCTGGTGAGGAATCGGGGGTCAGCTCCCCCCCTCCACCAAAAGAAACACGAGCATCCTTGAAGTCTGCAGCTGGTTCTCATTGGGCGCAGTCAACCAACACCAACATCCTGACTCGCGTATAAACAACAAGCAAATGTTTCAAGAACACGGCTGGAAATATTTAGTCCCGGCCGCTCTCCCGGAGTTTAGTCTGGACGAGAGTCTCACTGAGGTCAAAACGTTCCCAGACTGCCCTTTAATAGCTAGCGGCCAGATAAATGGAGCGAGTGTACAGGAGCCACTCGAGCGGATTCTCCAACAAGCCCGAGAAGCCCGGTCCGTTATCTTTCAGGGATTAGCTCTCAATGGCCCGGCGCTGACTTTAATTGAGATCAGACTCTCGCTCAGGTCAGATATGTTGCGTAGGTCTCGGGATGAACTTCAAACGCTTCGCAGGGCGTCCGGGGATCCTTCATTCAAGTGCCAGCGAAGTCAAACGAATGGCTCGGCACAGACAAGGGCATTCGCTGAGCGGATTAGCGCAGCCACCGAGAGCAGGAAAATCTTCCCGACATGCTAAAATACCGACAGACGTCGCTCCAGGTTTTGCAGGCTTCCAAAAAAAAAAAGTCCATTTGGAATATGAGGCGAGGCAAGATGGCGAAGGCATACGAAGAAAATCTGAAGCTCCACCCGGGGAGACAAATCAAATGTCAATGATTTCAAAATCACAACGCTTGCAGTCTCTTGGGTCAATGGGCCTTTCTTTCTTTTCAGCACCAGGTGCAATTTTCCATCACTTCCCTTCCCCTTGCATTGATCGTCTCGGCGTGTTGCCATCTTAGCGACTGTCGCTACGGCAACCTCGGAATGAATTGCCCCCCCCAGAATGTGGGCCCTCGCCACCCGTCCAAAACAATTTACGAATCATTTCACGTCGAATGCATGAAATTACACAAATATCCTTTGCGGATGCAAGTTTGCCTTTCGTCCCCGCTGGCTGCGGGGGGGCGGGGGGGGGGCACGCATCCGGCATCGTCTTGCGCCTCCGTGATGAGTCGTGCCTCGGTGCCGGCAGGGCTGCGGTCACCTCATGCGGAGAGTAAATGAAAGTTTAACGATCTTTTGGCTCGCAGAGGAAAGAAACCATTACGGACGGCTGCGAAAACAAGAGCCTGCGCGGTACCTGGGAGGGGAGTGCGCCCCCCTACGAGTGTGCGGGGAGATGTTGTGTCTAATGATGTGGGACAAATTTCCCTGTCGAGGGGCGATGCGAGCGAGAGGACAATACATACACAATCCACAGCGCAATGGCAAAACCTTGCGCGGCTTTCATCGCGGGCCGCTTGGTCGGCGGCGGCCGAGCGCGTCGCGCACGGCCGACGGGTCGCGGAAATGAGAAGCGACAAATGAAAGGCTCTCGGAGAGGAGTGAGGTGTACTCGTTTTGTTTCGAGAGCCCACAAGTGGATGGCGTCTTAAATCAGCAATAGCCGCTTTCACGATGACTGGAAAAAGTTTTTACGTTGTTTTTTTGTCTTTTTTGGATGGTGCGGGGGTGGGGTGCTTTTTCCTGTGAACAATGCTGCCATGAAATCGTGTTCCAGAGTCCACCTGGCAATCTTCCCGAGCTTGGCGACGAGTCGCGGAAGAATGGAAGCAGGTTCATGCGAAGACACGTCGACCCGCTCGGTTTTGTTTTACACCAGGGGGCCCAAATTGCAGCCCATGGACCAAATCCATCGGCGTCCGGCTGAGACTCTTTGGCCCCAGCTGACGCCAAGTGTACGTTCCACAGGGAAGGCCTTCGAGATCACCTACGTGCGACTGAAATTCTACGCCAGTCGGCCGGAGAGCTTCGCCATCTACAGGCGCAGCGAGGCGGACGGCCCCTGGCTGCCCTATCAGTTCTACAGCGCCTCCTGCGGGGAGACCTACGGCAAGGCCGTCAACGGTTTCTTGCGCCTGGGGGATGACGAGAGGACGGCGTTGTGCACCAACGAGTTCAGCGACATCGCGCCGCTCACCGGGGGGGACGTGGCCTTCTCCACCCTGGAGGGACGGCCCAGCGCCTACAACTTTGACCGCAGTCTCGTCTTACAGGTCAGTCCTCGCCGTTTTTTTTTTTTTTTAAGAATGACTTATGTCAGTGGTTGTTTGGCGCATTTCTTGCGCCTGGGGGATGACGAGAGGACGGCGTTGTGCACCAACGAGTTCAGCGACATCGCGCCGCTCACCGGGGGGGACGTGGCCTTCTCCACCCTGGAGGGACGGCCCAGCGCCTACAACTTTGACCGCAGTCTCGTCTTACAGGTCAGTCCTCGCCGTTTTTTTTTTTTTTTAAGAATGACTTATGTCAGTGGTTGTTTGGCGCATGGGCACAAATAGTCAGCGCCCCC